AATGTTAAAATATTACCATTTCCTTATACTGGAACAATAAAGTGACAGTTCCATGGCAAATTTAAAAAAAACACCATATATATTTATTTTAAAAGAACAGCTATTTTGAATGAATTATTCAATTACAAGCAAAAAATGGCATAGTTTCAATTGCATTGCATTGCTACACAGAAAAACCATTGTCCAAAAGGACATACTACATGATCAGGTGTGACAAGCCACTCAGGACAGTCCACTGACAGTCCACTGAGCAGCTTTTCGGTAGACACAAGGATATCTGCTAAGAAGGAGAGATTCAGATGTATGTACAAGCTACATCCATAGCTCTTCTCTTCCTGTCCCACATATACATGAAAATATTTTGAAAGGTGAGATTATGTTCCTATAGGCGCTAAATAAAATACTTTTCCAAGGTCATGTGGTCATTCTGAAAAAGTAAAAATGAATCTTTTGCTTAAAACAAATCATATGCATTGCAATTACTAAATGTACCTTAAAGGAGTACTTGCGGTTTATATGATCTTCAGGTCCAACTGCTGATATTACATAGCTAGGCAATGGTATACTTCCAAGAACTGACTCTTCTCTGCTGTCTTTTGAATAAAGAAAGGAACATCTTAGTAGCTCTATTTCAACTGGGATAGTAAAACAGATTCATTATAGCGAAACAGAGAAAATACAAGACAATTAAGATTTAATGATTAAAAATGATCAGCTGAGATTGAACAAACCCTTGTTAGTCTACCAGGCATAAAAAAACAGAGGAGCTTGCTTATAAACACCAGTCATTCTGCTGGAGAGCCAACATGGTATAGTGCGGGGTGGCCAAACTTGCTTAACGTAAGAGCCACATAGAATAAACCTCAGATGTCTGAGAGCCGCAAGACATGAACAAATATTACACGTTTTTACTGAGAAATATACAAATTTGCTTTTTATTAACTGTAAAGGAGACTGCCAAAACTAATAACAAAAGCAGTAAAAGCAGATATTGCTAATGATATTTATTTGTCCAGTGATATTTGTTTGCTAATGCTATTTTTCACTCCTCCACATGAAGCCTGCTGAGTGACCCTGGGCCAGTCTCAGTTCTCTCAGAACTCTCTCAGCCCCACCTACCGCACAAGGTGCCCATTGTGGATATAAGAAGGGAACGTGGTGGTAGGCCACTCTGATATGCCTTGAGATATTTTGGGAAATGCTGGAAGTGTAAAGGGATTGACGGTACCTTCTGTCATATGTGGTAGTTTCGTAAAAAGACTAGTAAATACTGGGAAGAACTACATGCTGAAATTCAGAAAATTTTGAATATAAAACCTGCGATGAAACGAGAGACTATGCTATTGGTAACTGTACCCATGAATATTGAAAGAGCAACACATGAACTATTCCAAAATATGTTAACAGCAGCACGAGTAGTGTTTGCCACTAAATAGAAAATGGAGTTTTGAACAAATCTTGAAGACGGAAAAGATAAGATGGAGGAATATGCTATTATGGTGAAATTGACAAACAATATAAGTAACAGACCAAGTAGTGAATTTGAGAATAAATGGAGAACTTTGTATACTTATTATAGACTAGTAGCAAAGCCTGTTGTAAAATCAATAAAACGAGCTCTAGCAAGATGTGATGTGTCCGTGTGTACACGCCCCCCCACTCCGGTTTCTCCCCCCCGTCCCCAGGGTTGAGGGCCGACAGAAGGCCCGTCACTGTCTCCCCACCCGGCCAGCTCCAGCAGCCTCCCGGCCACCTCTACCCCAGCAGCTTACGCAGGGGAGTTCAGTGAATCACCGCTTGGGGTCATAAAGCTATTGGAGGTTGACCTTGCCCTCCTCCCTGTTGGCTGCCTTCTTCTCCCTGGCGCTGTTGGCCATCAGCTCATCACCCGCCTAGCCACCTGCAGGCCGCCGTGGCTGATGACAACCACTGCAGCACCGCGACTGGCTTCGGCCTCATAATCCTCCGCCCACCAAAGTGTCCCCCTGCCTGGCCACCTCCGGTGACCTCTACCACCCTCCGCCCCGGTAGCTCATGCAGCAGAGATTGGTGAATCACCGCTCGGGGCCGTGCAGCTCTTGGATGTCAGCCTCACCATCCTCGTTGGCCACCTTGTCCTCCATGGCACTGGAGCCCGTCCACTCACCACCCACCCAGCTACCTGCAGCCGGCCCCAGCCGCCGCCGCCCACTGTGGCACCACCATGATCGGGCTCAGCCTCAGGACCCTCCAGAGCGTCCGGCCCATCTGTCGCCTCCCAGCATATTGAGGCTGAGATACTGGCCGCCGGTTCTGTGGGTGTGACTAAGGCAATGCAGCCACTAATGGATA